TCCCCGGTGAAAACTCGAGGACCCACCCCTAAGTCAGCAAAGGATTCTTTCCGGGAAAGATCGAGATTGAGAAAGAAGGGTCAATTCCAACGAATACAACCAAAACCACTTGTTAATGTGGGGGTGAACACTATTGCATCTAATCTAATCAATGACGCTGAAAGGAACTCACAAACTAAATTTAATGCCGGGAATGATTTTCTACGATCCCCCGAAACTTCTTCGCCTGACATTACTGAATATCCTACGCAACTTTCACAAAATCCGCTAAGCATGGAACAAGAAAATAATGATCTTACTCGCTTTCAGCGATATGGGATGAATAATGACCATCTTTACCTGGCGAACATGACCACATGTTCTTTGATAGATCCACCGATTGTACCTTCGCACATTGTTCACACACCGACTAATATAGGTATTGTTATCTTCTTGCCAGGAAAATCACGTGTTTTATATGAAAATTGTATCAATCGTTTTTTATTTCCTTATAGAATTTCCCTCTTCACCTACGTCTCTGCCGTGCGTTTCGTCTTCCTCCTTACCTTACAATTTACCTTTCTCTGGAACTTCCTCTCTAATAATGTTTAGCAAAAATAAACAAACTGATGATCTGACTCAAAATACGACTTTCCCTGAGGAACTGTTCTTTTCGAATTGTGATGATTTGATTTCAGATGATTTTTGTTCTTTGCCTACAGGAATCTATTCTGAGATTGATTCTAATTCAACTGTGAATATGAATGCTGACACGTTTATGAATGCTGTTCTTTTGCCCATGAATGTTGCCGATATTTATAATGTTGAAAATACGAATGATGTTGTCTCTCCCATGAATACAGTCCCCACCAACATTAACGTAAATGCGAATATTTATGACACTATAAATTCGAACATTACCAACGCAATATTTTGGATGTCAGGTGATCCGCGTGATAATGAACATTGACATTGACTCGTGAAAACGGTAATTTTAGAATAAGGATTACGAAATAGTACTTTGTACTTTCATCCCAGACATTACTACCTTCCACACGTAACAACGAACCTGATCGTAAATGGCACGTTTGAGATAACGACTTGTGTTACGATCACTCTTACCATAAACGTACTATGACGTTTTCGATTTTGCTATAAACATCTTGAATGGACAATAACCCTTACCTTTGACCATGCACCACATGCATTAGATCTTATACACATGGAACACAACGATTATGTACACGTTTAATATTCGACATGATTTATTTAGCATCAATATTTATTAACCCGAGATTATAACGATGATATATACCATATTTAACCATATTGACTCACGATACAAGTTATCGAGAACCGATGTATTTAATTTATTCATTGTAAATAAAATTTTATAAAGATATAATCACTCGAAATCATTTAGGGACTTTTTTTCGACCGGTAGGCACAGAATTTTTCTTTCTTCTCCTCATTAACACAAAGAAGCCTTTCCAAATGCACTCGTCGGCACCAGGCACGAGCGTTGTCATAATTTATTAATACTTATAATTTTCGAATATGACATCAATCGTACAAAGCAATTGAGGTTCATATTATAAAGAATAATTTTTTTAAAAAAAAAAATTACATAAGGATATACAAGACTTTGATAAGATATTAATATACTGTACATTTTATTTATAACTTAATTAAATAACTAAAGAAATAATAAATATAATATGTATGTTTTGAAAAATTTTAAAATACAGAGAACCCCTAAATACATTCCCCTTGGGTCAAGTGCAAACATGCATTTATAGATGTGCATTTAATTTTGTTTAACGTTAATCTTGCTCAAAAATTAATTTCGTCAAATTAATGCTTAATTTTGCCCAGCTTTATATGTATTCCAGTCAACTATCCTGGCTCTTATGTTAATATGATCATTAAGTGAAATTCTTTGTATTATAATTATATTATTATCAAGCTTCAATTTTTTAAAATTAAATATACAGTATTTAAGTAACTAATAGCAGAATTTTCACTTAAAAAAATTCTTACCTGAAATAGAAATGCATAATATAATTATGATATCAATAAAAACTATGGTATTGATGCTTCTTACCTTAAAAATAAAAAATTAGATATACAGTATTTAAAAAAAAATATATAAATAATTTTTAACAATTAAATTAAATTTATTTAATTATAATCAAAATCAAAATGTTTTATTGAAAATTTAATATCTTGTAAATTTATGTATAATGATCTAAAATTTTATTCGTTTTTTTAATCCAAAGTTAACTGAGTTACTGTATATATTTAATTAAAAGATTAATGCCCCCATTATTTAATTACCAATTATTATTTATTTTTATTTTTTGACCTGAGAAGCTCCTAATGTTGATGCAACAACAGTAGCTTCTTGAATGGTTCTTGCCAATGTAGACCTGATTTTACCATCTTCCATGGTAAGTAATCCCGCAATCGTGCATCCCGCTGGAGTTGTGACGCTATCCTTGATTTCAGAAGGGTGCTTACCCGTTTGCAACACCATTTTTGCGGCCCCCTGAAGCGCTGTATCAATAATAATTAACAAAGTAAGAAAGGTATTCACATGTATAATGTCTACCATCGGATTTAGAATACCTTGAGCAGATAATTCAAAAGAAACATCACGTGGAAGTCCCATCATAACACCACCGTCAGCCATGGCCTCTAGTATGACGCTAAGAACAATCCAGAAGTAAGATACCATGCTAATATATAAAATAACATATACGTATATCAAGCTCACCATGCAAATGCGGGGCCGCTTCCGGAAAGACCAGTAACAGCATCTAAATGTTTTTCGTCCAAAAATCGTACCCGCCCCAAAGTAGAAAATACCCATAGCGCTAATTCTTTGTCGTGCGCTTGAATGTTAGCCAGACAACTTAACACAGTCATTCCTTCTCGTATCTAATATATCAAAAATTGTGCAGACTTTAATATAGATGAATGAATGAATGCACCTTTCTCAATTTCGAACAGTTTGTTTCTATGTAATTATACCATGCAAGGGGTGTTCGGCATAGCTCGTATGACCCTGGTCGAGTCAGGAACCCAGTCTTTTAGTTGCTTTATCGTTACTCCAGCCAGTATGCTTATAACTAGTTTTCCCTCTAGTACTTGAGCCATACCACTTTCCATTAAAATTGTTCTGGCTACCTGAGGTTTTGTACTTTTTTTTTTCGAAATAGACAGGCAAAATTTGATCAGCCACGGAAGCGAGCACATCACCATTGTGGCATACAAAAAGACTAAGTTAGGTACCATAAAAGCACAATGTCAGCTTCACCGACGCCTTTAATGTTCTCTCCAATCAATAACGTAACGCGATCCCCGAAATCCCTTTTAACTCGATGTCCAGATTCCTCCCCTGCTACACAAGCAATAAACTTCTCTGGGGTGAACGCCGATTCATTGCCGGAAGAACTTTGCACGCCTGAACTCAAGGAACTCAAAATTCCTGATAAAATGGCCCTCCCCATTGTGCCACATCCCAGGATGCATAACTTCGGGGATGTGTTGCGAGACATTGTTCCAATGTTTTCCCGATCTCGATGACAACGCCTATAAAATCTGTCCTGTATAATCACGTGACGATCATCTGTGGAGTGAGAGATCGATCACGCACAAATTTCGCGCTTGCTGATCCCTTGATAATGTCCTTGAAGGAATGGAATCCGAAAGTTCAACTAGTGCACCGACGCCATTATTTGAAGCTTCATTAGTTGAACCAAAGCTTTTTGGATCACTTGCAAGGATTGTGAAAATTCCAAGCGTTCAAGAAGTTATCTTGACAATTACCGAAGAGGGAATTAGGTTGCAGTCTGGTCGAGCACAACTTAGCCAAGTGTGCGCTTTCATAAATAAAAGAAGTTTTCTGACATACGACTTGAATATACAGAACGAACAGGCAGAACTGAAAATAGCAGTACCCAGGATGCAACTTGAAAAGGTCCTTAATTTATATTCTGAAGATGTGAATCAAATAGATAGTAGCTTTTTCCGTGACGAGGAATGCATACCTTACGGAATTATCACGTGGACCTTTCTCTGTCAAACAGCGAATGAAATGTCTGTTAAGGTTGAGCGAGAAAATGATTTCCATTCCACCTATCCCTTAGAAGTTATTTTAGCCAATCCTCTAGAAGTTTTTGCCCCAGATGAACAAAGCTTGGCAATGGAGATGAAGATGCAAGGTAGCAAGTTTAAGACATTGTTTAAAAATGTACTCAAGTGCAAAAAAACATTTCAATTTCAAAGTTCAACACGAGATATTTTGGCCATAGTATCGCGTGCACATCAACCCGAATATTACGGATTTAAGTGCGAAATATCACGTTCTAATGTAATATATAGCTCACCCGAATTCCCGGAATTCAACTTTTGGTATTATGGAAAATATTTGACCCTGGATTTCTATAATTCTATCCGCGACGAGGGGAATGTTAAAGTCAAAGTTTACAATGACGGCATGCTTCATATTCAGAATATGAAAGTCAAAGATATGACATACGGCTTCAAACTGGAACTTGTCATTTACCCTGCTATATCGGATATGTAAGAAGATGCGATAAGCGGAAATTAAAATAATGTCCTTTTTAATAAAGTACGTCGTGCCTTATAAAGTGATAGTGAGATGTTACACGGTATATATTTTCTTTTCGAAAATAATAACATTAATAGTCCACTCGTAAAATCATGATAACCATTCATTTTACAACTATCTCATTTTTCAAAAGTTTCTATTGACAATCTAGCATTTAAACAGCGCAATCTTAACGAGATGGTCATTGCTGGTATATACTCTGAGATGCACTGGTTACAGCTGTCATCATCGAGCTAGAGGGTGACAATTCATCTGGATCCAGTTCTTTTTGGTTCGATAGTGAAGTTA